AAAAAAAAAAAAAAAGAATTCAATGACAGAGATGGTAGTGTCCTTGACAGTCTTCTAAAGGGAAGTCAATTTACATAGAGAGAGAATGTGTTTGAGCAATGGGCAGCCACTGGAAAGCTTTGCATTTGGGCCAATCATTCTGGGCATAGTCAACAACATGGGACGGTTGTGGGGAAGGCTGAGCAGAGCAATCAGGGCTGAGTGGGGACAAAGTGGTGCCACTGGCATGGGGGGGAGAATGGAATAAATGTGTTTTCCAATAACCCCCTAATACTTTTATTGGTATTTATACTAAATACTAATAGCTTTGGACAGTTACTATTTTTTTTTTTTGGTCGCCCTCAGTAAAGTGCCATGGTGTCAGGCACCCACCATAATGCCCAGCTATTTTTTTGTTGCAGTTTGGCCAGGGCCGGGTTCAATCCCACCACCCTACTCACTGAACCACAGGCACCTCCCTGGACAGTTGCTCTTTTTTTAAATGAGATCATTCGGTCATTACATTTATTTATTCGACAGATACCTTGTAATAGTCAGTCACCTTTAGGTGTGACTTGCTAGTTCAATAGAGTCCCCCTTTACAAAGATGGTACCCTCTAATCATGCCTATACTTGAAAACCTTCTTCCTTCCACCCACCCTTGCTGGGTGACCCAAGAATGGTCATCTGAACCATACTCTACAAAGTGTGCTCTATCTTAGGAATTATTTTTTTTGGTCTCATTATGTCACCTTCCATAGAGTGCTGTGGCATCATATCTCACAGCAACCTCAAACTCTTGGGCTTAAGTGATTCTCTTGCCTCAGCCTCCCAAGTAGCTGGGACTATAGGCACCCACCACAACACTCGACTGGCTATTTTTTTGTTGTGGATGTCATTGTTGTTTTAGCAGGCTCAGGATGGGTTCGAACCTACCAGCCCTGATGTGTGTGGCCAGCACCCTAACCACTGAACTACGGGCACTGAGCCACTGTCTTAGGAATTTCAAATGTCTGTCTGCCTAAGAGACTCAGACTGGAAGCACTCCGGAGCTAAGTCACATTAATGATGATGTTATGGAGATAAGATCCATGAACACACTGATGTCCCCAAGACTGTGATATTCCTGCAGTGCCTTCTGGCCACAGATGATTGGTCCAGTTCAAGCTGACTCAAGCTGGGCCAATTGGGTTCTCTCTTGGGGGTTTTGAAATTAAAGTTGAGATATCTCTCTCTGTGTGTGTGTGTCTATGTGTGTGTGTGTGTGTGTGTGTGTGTTTGAGGATAGCTTATGTAACTTTGGGGCTATAGGCAGAAACAATTTTCCACTAAATGAACTAGGAAATGGAAAATCCACCAGTAGTGAGAAAGGAATGAGGCTTATGCACGCAGAGAAGAGGAAAAGACAGAGAGAGAAAGAGATTTTCTAGAGTCTCCATATTGCTCTAGTTTGTTTGCTTGTTTGTTTGTTTTTGGTTAAGTGTTCTTGCCACTTGACATATTGCTCTAGTTTCTGATTCTCTTTCTAAGACCTCTAGTATTTCTGCCTTTGGGTTTTGTAAGTTCCTGAGTAGTTCCTAATAAATTGTCCTTTATGCTGAAAGCAATTTGAGTAGGGTTTCTGATGGGCAGATGCTCCCAAACTAAAGAATTATAGCTGATATTTATGTGCTGCGTGTGAGGCTCTTGGCAAGCCTCACACAGAGACCCAGTATGAGTCAGGTGTGGTGCCACCCTCAAGGAACACAGTGGAGAGAAGATGAAGTCTGTACTCCACAGACTACGACCATAGTGGCTAGGAAGAGAGCACCCATTAGAGATGTGTTTATCAACCAGGCGCAGTGGCTCACACCTGTAATCCTAGCACGCTGGGAGGCTACAGTGGGTGGACCGCTTGAACTCAGAAGTTTGAGACCAGCCTGAGCAAGAGCGAGACCCCATCTCCACTAAAAAATGAAAAACTAGCCGGGAATAGTAGGGGGGGCCCCTGTAGTCCAGCTACTTGGGAGGCTGAGGCAAGAAGATTGCTTGAGGGTAAGAGCCTCCGCTCAAGTGGCTAATGCACTAGCCACATACACCAGAGCTGGTGGGTTCGAATCCAGCC